CCTTCTCTATCTCTCTGCCTCCCTATCTCCCCACTATCCTCTCCCACCCTCGCCCATCCCGTCACATCCCCAGTCGTCCTCCCCCCTCCTCTCATCTCTTCTCCCCGACGGGTCTGACATTCTACAGCTCACCATTCCATCCAATCCGTTGGGATGGCGCCCGGCCCTGAAGGAGGGTCACCTTCGGCGACGCAGGCCCCTTCCTCTTCCTCTCCGAATTCGGGGCTGGCTGCGTCGGGGCTTGTGGGCTCGAGGCTGGCGCGCTGGGCGCTGCGGGGCTCGCAGCTGGCGCGCTGGGCGCTGCGGGGCTCGCAGCTGGCTCGGCTGACGGCTGCTCGGGAGTGCTCGGTGCGGCCGACGGTTTCTTCAGCACCGCCTTGGGCTTCGGTGCGACCGATGGGTTCTTCAGCACCACGGGCGGCGGGTCGGTCTTCTCCTCGTCGTCGTTCTCCTCCTCGTCCTCGCCACCACTCTGATGCGGCTCCTCCTCGCCATCCCCCGGCTCGGCCTCGGCCTCGGCCTCGTCCTCGGCCTCGGCCTCGTTGTCGGCCTCGGCGCTGCCCCCTGGCTCATCGGGCTTCTCCTCGACCTTCGCCGACGGCCGCTTCTTGACGGTCCCCTCGCTCGGCTCGCGCTCCTTGAGCCACTGCTGCTTGTGCGACTCGATCTGCGGCTTGCCCATCGCGCCGCTGGTGTATTTCGAGCCCCATGATATACTGACAGTTTTAGTAGTTTCCTCAAGATGCGGTGGAAAGATGAACTGAAACACCTGGCCCTTCCCCTTTGTCATTTGAATCCATCTCGCATCCTTTTTCTTGACGAGCTGTATCTTGACGGCCTCGCCATATTTTTCCCCATTGAAAAAATTAGGGAGCCACGGCTGGATTTGGCATCATGTTCAAGCTCCCCACTGGTATTCTGAATCTCCCATCGCAGGCCGTCGTCGAACACGGCGACCAAATATTTCTCATCCTCGGACGGCGTGGCCGCGACGTACTCAGGGATCGCCGCCTCGCCGACTTTGCAACGCCACGCCCCATGAGGAGCAAACAGGTTTTGCAGATTTGGGCGTTCCACATCGACGTTTTGTGCGTGTGTGTGCGTTGACCGATTGAGTCCCCCACTGGCCCCTGAATCGCGCCAGTGCATCCAAGGTTCCACCCCTGCAGCACCTCCAGGATGGGCAAATCCGTGGACACCTTTTGCTGTTTCTGCGGCCTGCCCGATGGCCTCTTCATCACGGAGTTTTCCTGGGAGCGCAAACGATCGATATCATGTTCCATCGCAATTTCCATCGCGATGGAAATTGCGATGGAAACGTGATCTCGAGTTGGGATTACACGCGCATCGGTCCTCGTGGGGGCGCTCGTCGAACACTGTTGCCCACGCTGAGTTCCTCTCGGATGCTCCCTTCCACCCGAACGGACATGCAGGGCTGGTTTGTCCGAGCTCAGGCCCATGGCACATGCCCCCAGGCTTGCATCTCCAATGTGGGATGGGAGGGGGTTCGAACTTCCGAGGTCTTGAGGCGCGCTTGATCAGCGTGGCGCAGAAGGTTCCTGATTTGGTTTGACGCGTCGGTGACCCAGCTGTCCGCCGCATCTGCCAGGTGCCAGTGATCTTCGTTTCGTCGCACCAGCTCTCGAGGTAAAGCCTCGGCCCAATCAAACCAACACTGACGTTCTGGGGGTGTGTTTTTATTGAGGAATATGTGCGAAGTTGATTCAATGTCCCCCAGAACCGTTCGCATCGGCTTGGGCACCGTGCGAACACACGATCGGGTGTCCCTGATGAATGCCGCGCGTTCGAGGAGCGACTCCTTGCTCGCCGAGGCCGCCTCGTAGGGCGCTGTCGTGCACTTCAAACTATCAACCTCGGGGGGGGGGGGGGGGGCAGGGGGGGGGGGGGGCAGGGCCACGCTTGTCGGTCGCTCGCTTTTCCAATCGACTGCACGGTCGATTTCGAAAAACGAGGCCGGCGTCGGCCTCGCAGGTTAGGTTTGGTTTGATCTACTTTCGTGATGTGGAAGGCCCAAATCTGCAACAGCCGATCATTCACGCCATCGTCCGACATGTAGCTGACCCACCGCTAGCGCATGGATCCGTGAGCCGAAACAGCTACGGACGGATGCGATGCCTGGCACGCGACGACGCATCGCACGGGCAGGCGATGCGATATCCAGATCCAGACGGATGCATCGGATGATGCTCGCGACATGGATGCATCAGACGGGCGGGCGATGCATCGGCTCCCGATGCATCGGTCCAGATGCATCGGGCTGGCGGGCGTGCGATGCATCGCACGGGCAGGCGATGCGAGATCCAGATCTAGACGGATGCATCGGATGATGCTCGCGACATGGATGCATCAGACGGGCGGGCGATGCATCAGCTCCCGATGCATCGGTCCAGATGCATCGGGCTGGCGGACGTGCGATGCATCGTGCGGGCATGCGATGCGAGATCCAGGTCTAGACGGATGCATCGGATGATGCTCGCGACATGGATGCATCAGACGGGCGGGCGATGCATCGGCCCCCGATGCATCGGTCCAGATGCATCGGGCTGGCGGACGTGCGACGCATCTGTCTTGGATGGAGGGGGCGATGGCATGGGGAGGGGGAGGGGGATGAGGAGGATGAGGGGGGGGGGGGGGGGGGGGGGGGAGGACGAGGAGGAGGGAGAGGAGGAGGAGGAGGAGAAGAGGAGGAGGAGGGGAGGAGGAGGAGGAGGAGTAGTAGGAGGAGGAGGAGGAGGAGGAGGAGGAGGACGGCGGCGGCTGGCCTCGAAGCTCGAGAACATGTGCTGCGTCGCCAGCGCCGCCAGCTTGCGCTGTCGGGTGCTGCTCTCCTCGCGACCGCAGGGGGGGCGCGGGCGAGGCGCAGGGGTCACGAAATCCATCGCGCATTCCATCGCGATGGAAATTGCGATGGATTTCGACAGCGAGGCGAGGGACGAGGGGGAGGAGGAGGAAGATGCTGATGAGGAGGAGGGGAGGGGGACGAGGATGAAGAAGAGAAGACGGAGGAGAAGGAGGAAGAGGAGGACGAGGATGAGGAGGAGGAGGAGGCGGGCGAGGAGGAGGATGGGGGAGGGGCGACGAGGAGGAGGAGGAGGAGGAGGATGAGAACTTAGAGGAGGAGGGGGTGGACAGGGCGGGGGAGATGAGCCAGGGAGGCAGGAGTTGAATACGGAGAGGTGTCCAGGCCCACGATGGGCGCGAGGCTGCGGTCGTCCGAGTCGTCGTCGCTGTTGTCCTGGCGGCGGGGGGCGCGTCGGCGGCGTAGCGACGGTGACGACGATGGTGGAGCAAGAATACAAGTCGGAGGAGGATAATGCGGCGGGATGGCGAGGGCGGAGGGGTAAGGGGAGGGAGGAGGGGCGAGGGCGAGGAGGAGGAGGAGGAGGCCACGGCGGAGGAGGTGGAGGAGGAGGGCGAGGACGAATACGAGGAGGAGGAGTACGGATAATGATGACGAGTGAGCAAACGGACGGAGAGGACGACGAGAAGGACGATGAGAAGGAGCCACGGTCCTCGTCGATCGAAGCCGCCACCGACGGAGTCCGAGTGGATGCGCACGAAGGCGGCAGTCCACCGCGAATCCTGCCGTCGGGGCCCGCGCGCGCCTCCTGGCGGCAGGACGGATGGTGAGCGTTGACCAGACGAGAGGTGAGGTCGCCATCGAATCGATAGGGTGAGAATCGAGAGGCGAGGTCGGCATCGAATCGATGGGGTGAGGATCGAGAGGCGAGGTCGGCGTGAGAATCAGACGATAGAGAGGTGAGATCGAGACGTGAGGATCGAGAGGTGCGATCGAGAGGTGAGATCGACGTGAGAAGGTGACCCGATTAAGACCATGCGATCCCTGTACTTCTGGTCGGACACCTTCCCCTGCCACGACGGACGCGCCGCGCTCGCCTCGGCGCTCTCGGCGCCACTCTTGACCTTCGCGGCGGCCTTGCTCTCCTGGAGAGCGCGCTTGTACTCGAGCTCGAGCTGATGGCGGCGCTGATCGTCCGCCTCCTTGCTGGCCATGCTCTCCACGAGCGCCTGCTCTACCTGCTGCTCAGTGCCATCGCACTTCTCCTCGATGGCCGCCATGCTCTCCACGAGCGTCTGCTCTACCTGCAGCTCCGCGCCATCGCGCTTCTCCTCGATGGCCGCGCCGTCATGCTGCTCGTCGGCGGCCGCGCCGTCACGCTGCTCATCGGCGGCCGCGCCGTCATGCTGCTCATCGGCGGCCGCGCCGACGGCGAAGGGGGGGCCCACCTCGACGAAGGTTGCGCCGTCCTCCGCGGCGGCGGCGGCGATGGCCTCGCCCTTGGCGAGGTCGCCAGCCACCGTCTCGACATCGCTTGAGTCGGGCTGCGCAGCTGCTGCGCCATCAGCCCCCGCCGGGCCCGACATGTCGACACTGCCGCGGCGAGGGGCGCGGCCGACAGGCGTGGTCCAGGCTCTCCCCTTCGGGGGTAAAACCCAGTCGATCGTGCTGGGCATGTGCCAAAACGGCTAGACGGAGGAGCGAGGATATGAGGAGTTGGGAGGTTCTCGGGACGCATATGCGGCGAGAAGGCCCGAAACAACGACAACCGCGGCAGATCGACGAGCCAGCCAGTGGCCGCAAGACGGCTCCAGGACCAGGGATCGCAGACAAACTATTCAGGGCCAGCGACGCCGTTCACGGAAACACCGCACAATGTTCACCAATTCTCACAGCGAGCGAACATGGCGTATGTGATATTCTGTTGATAGAATTCCGCGGGTTGTGAATGTTGTATGTGTGTTTGAGCTTTTTTTGAAGTTTGTTAATACGTGCAACATATGTATATATTATGTTTGCATGTTCCGACCAATTGTTGTTGTTGTTGCCAACGTCTGGTCGATACATACATCACCATCATAGCAAAAAACAGCCCGATCAATAATCATCACTTTGAGACCTCTGGGTCTCGCCGCGGCTTGCGGCGCTCGCCTCGCTCGCCACGCCGGGCCCACAGTGTTCTCGCGTCTTCGCCAGCGTCGGCATCGGGTGCCCCCATCGGGGGCGGGGGCCTTAAGCCTCTCCCTCAAGTCCTTCTCGCCAGCCCCCACGTCGGGGTCACCGACGGCGGGCCGCGACGCGCCCGCCGGGCTGCCCAGGTCAGCAGCCGCGCCGCGATGTCGCCCCCCAGGAGCCCAATGAACTCCCGCGGGCGGCTGCCCCTGTAGGAGTCGACCATTCCGATGCGCACTGCCTCCACAAGCAGCCACGCGGAGCTGCCCCTGATCATCGCGCGGGCGCCATCCAGCCGCGCACTTCCCTGCTCCAAGGCCATCTCCGCGCCGACGGGGATCCGCCCAGGCGAGCTGATCACCCGGCCGCAACCCCCCGGCGGCTCGACCGAGGCGGAGGCTGCAATGACAACGTCGGGCCCAGGCGGCGGTGCGTCCAGCAATGGCTCAGGCCCACGCGGTGTCGAGGTGCCGCCCGCCGCCTCTTCGCTCCCACGCAGTGGCAGCCGACGGCGCGCCTCTGATAAGGAATGCACCGCACCGTCCCAGGCCGACATCTCCTCGGGGTCGGCGGCCGCACCTCCGGCAACGTGGCGCAGCTGCTCCGACCGTGAGCTGATCGCCGGACCTTTGAACTGCTGCCTGCCGGCGGGCTCCGAAAACCTATGCAAAGCGCCGCGAACCAAGGCTGAGGCCGCCCCGTTTGGCGCACAAGCGAAGGCCCTTTTGCAGCCGTCGCCGATGTCGCCCGTCATGTCCTCTGCGTATCTATCCAGGTCGGGCGCGAGGATCCACCAGCATTTCCCGCCCGCAGGCTACAGCAGGAGGCGCTCGTGCCACACAGTATCCCGCGGATGCCAGAGCCCCAATCGTAGACCAGGTCGCAACTCACTGCGCCACTCCCCTACCTCGGCGCTTGCGCCGTCCGCCCGCAGGACTGTCCGACCTCCTCGGCGCCGACGAAAGGGGGCCAGCATGGCGACGGGCGGTCGCAGCGCAGCAGCAGCCCACCAGGATGCGAGCTCACTCACGGCGAGCCCCCACGCCAGCACCACGCCTGGAGAGGTCTCTGGCGTCAGGGCCGGGCCGGCCTCGGAGGGCGGCTCCGCCCCGGGGGCGCCAGCAGGGCCCGCGGGCGGCGGCCGCTCCAGCAGCGCCACTGCCTCCGCCGAAGGGCAGGTGGCAGGTGCCGGGGGGGCGTTGGCCAGCCGCGGCGCGAGCCCCTCCACCACCGCGGCCGCCGCGGCCTCCGCGCCCAAGGCTGGAGGCGGCGGCGGCGGGTGCGGCGGCGTGGGCGCCCAGGCGGGCTGGTGGCACGCGAAGGCTGGGCAGGTGGTGGAGGCCGCCACCACCGCCGCCAGCAAGCCACCCGCCAGCCGCAGGGCCGCCCGGGCCGCGGGGGCACCGACCGCGGCGCTCACCGCCAAGGTTGCGCCCGCGCCTGGGGCCATGGCCCGGCCCCCGCTCATGCGCTTGAGCGGAAGATATCGCGGCGCCCCCAGACAACAACGCGCAAGCACTCCCATGCGTAAATTATGCATCAGCTGCGACCCCGAAGCCATACATCCTAGCAGATCATGCTTATTCGCGTATCATAATCGCTCAAGGTGCAACACCGAGTTCAACAATATCATCAAAATATCAGTTTCTCTTGCCGATGCTGCTTCACGGCGGCGCCGAGGCCTCATGATTTAGCTCTTGCGTAGCCCATTATCCGAGAGAGGGGGCCCGCGGCAGGGGGCGAAACCCTTACGGATATACGTTGCCTTAAGAAAGTGGGACATGTTTTGCCTCTTGGCGCCCTCCTGGGGGCCTCCTGGAGGCCTCTTGGAAGCCTCCTGGGGACCTCTTGGGGGCCTCTTGGGGCCTTCTGGGGGCCTCTTGCCTCCTGGGAGCCTCTGGAGCCGAAAACTCAGAATCTGAATCTGGTTCTGCACCTCTGGGGCCCCTCTGGGGCTCGTCCTGGGGCTCTCTCAGGCTGTCTTTGGGGCCTCTCGGGCCGTCTTGGGACCCTCTTGGGGTCGTGGGGCCCTCTTGGGAGTATGTGGGGCAGTTTTTGGGGCCTCTTGGGCCGTCTTGGACGCTGTGAAAAGCCAAAGAGGTATATGTGATAAATATACGCTCCCTAGGGGAATGGGGCGAATTTTGCCTCTTGGGGCCCTCCTGGGGGGCTCTCTTGGGGGCCTCTTGGGGCCTCCTGGGAGCCTCTGGAGCCGAAAGCTCGGAATCTGAATATGGTGCTGCACCTCTGGGACCCCTTCTGGGGCTGGTCCTGGAGCTCCCTTGGGCTGTCTTGGGGGCCGTTTTGAGGCCCTCTTGGGGTCGCCTTGGGGCCCTCTTGAAGCCTGTGGCGCAGTCTTGGGGGCCTCTTGGGCCGTCTTGGACGCTGTGAAAGCCAACGATAGAGAAAGAGAGAGAGAGAGAGAGAGAGAAAGGAACAAAAAGACAGAGAAAGAGAGAGAGAGAGAGAGAACATGATCATTAATAGTATCAATATTCTTATTCGTATTCGTATTATATATATGTGTGTATAACATAATATATATACACACATATATATATATACATATACATATATAGAGAGAGAGAGAGAGAGATGCCAAACATAAGCGTGTTCCTGATTCGCATTTGTATTATTACTACTACTACTAGTAGTATTATTCGTAGTATTGAACGTAAGCGAAAATATACGTATCCCGAGAAGGGGATGGAGCGAGTTTTGCCTCTTGGGGCCCTCCTGGGGGGCCTCTGGGAGCGTCGCAGGAAGCGTCTGGGAGGCCTCTTGGGATGTTTTGGGAACCATCTTGTGCGTCTCGGAGCGGCCTGTGCCTCTTGAAGCGGCCTGGGGGCGTCGCAGGTCCCTCTTGGCGCGTCTTCGGGCTCTCTTGGCGTTTTCTGGTGGCGTTTTGTGGGCCCCTGGGGCCCCCCAAGGGCCTGCACACCCCCATTTGTGGTAGAGGTCTTGGCCCCCGGGCCCCCGAACCGGGTCCCCGGTTATATGTTCACACATACAAACACACACACACACACACACACACACACACAGATACACACACACACATTCTCTCTCTCTCTCTCTCTCTTTTTCGCTCTCTCTCTCTCTCTCTCACGCACACACATATACATGGTCGCCCTCCCCCCCCAAAGATCATAGATTTTTTTATAATGCCGCCATCGTCGATCGATCTCTCCTCCCCCTCCCCCTCCCCCTCCCCCTCCCCCTCCTCCTCCTCCTCTTCCGTCTCCTCCTCCTCCTCCTCCTCCTCCTCCTCCTCCTCCTCCTCCTCCTCTTCCTGAAGGGAGCTCTGTGTACTTTTGGTGTTGTTGTTTTTCTTTGGTTTTGCAGGCCCGAATGCTCGCGCTGGCCTCCCTCTCAGCACCCTTCCATGCGCCTCAGACCAAGAACACAAACATACACCATGTTTCGCGCCTTCCATGCAAGGAGACCCTGGGTATTGTTGTGTTTTGGGTTTTTGGGGGTCCGAGAAGCAAGGGAGCCATGTTTGTTTTTTTTGGCGGCGTGCAGGCCCGAGTGCTCGCGCTGGCCTCCCTCTCAGCACCCTTCCCATGCGCCTCGGACCCAGAAGCCCCAACACACACACACACACACAGTGTTTCGCGCCCTCGACGCAAGGAAACCATGTGTAGTTGTAGTGTTTGTGGTTTCCGGGGTATGAGAAACAAAAAACCTTGCGTATTTGTTGGGGGGTTCTTAGGTTTTGCAAGCCCCAGCGGGTGCTGAGAGGGAGGCCAGTGCTAGCGTCGGGGCTAGCAAAACCAACAAAACCCCAACACAAACAAACATACACAAGGTTTCCTTGCTTCTCACACCAGCAAAACGACAACAGGTTTCCTTGCACCGAGGGCGCCACGCCCTGCTCATACCTCTCTCTGCTTCTCCGTTCATTATCTTCCTCCTTCTCCGTTCCTTTTCTTTCTCCTTTTCCTTTCCTCCTTCTCCAAACACAATTCCTCCTCCTACTCGTCCATCATCCTTCTCCTCCTTCTCCTTTCCGATATCTGGGGCCTTACGTTTCTATGTCTCAGGCTTCGACTCAGGAGGTGACCAGACGACATCAGGCAGCGCGTTCGGTTTTCTACTCCTTGGGCGGTTTTTGGACGTTGGCTCCCCCTCTGGAAGTTTACTCGGGCGATCGTCTTATCCCTTGTGCGGAATTCGGCTTTATGCGGAATGGAGGCGTTCTTGCTCACGAAGCAGCAGAGCGCCCGCTTGGATGCTACTATTGCTCATGTTGCCCGTGTTTGCATGCGAGGTCGTGCGCACTGGACTACTTCAACTGGCGCAGTCAGGACGCTACATGTTTTACTAAACGCACTTTTACATTGCTAGTGCTCCCCCTCTTGTGCCGTCCCTCTCCCTGTTGTCCTCGTCCTCGGCCTCGCCCTCCTCGGCTTCGCCGCCGCTCAAGTTTCGGCTCGAGGATTTCCAGCGAGATCTACGAGCCTCCAGGATTTTTGGCACCGCAGTGCGAGAGGACAGCCCCTCTCGCTGGTCTGGGCAATCGCCGCGAAGTGGTGGTGGTGCGGCGTGGCCGCGCTCGTCGGGTGGAACGCAGGCGACATTGCTGACGAGGGCCGTCCACTGTGGGCGGCAGCCGAAGAGTTCGACCCACCCGAGGAGCTGGACTACGAGTCGGCAGGCGACATCCTCGTGCACGGCAGCCGTGCCTTCGTCCTGATGGCGCCGTGGAGCACGTGGAACAGGGTCTACTACAAGACGGGCCCCTCGCAGGGCGTGGCGATGCCGCTGGCGTCGCGGATCGGGAAGTCCAACAGCACGACGTGGACGGCGTGCGACCCTACATTGAGGGTCCAGGTCATCAACGTGCGCGACAAGGAGAGGATATTTACCACACCTGTGAAGGATCTGACATGGACAGAGCACCCAGGGCTCAGTGCCGCGAGCAGGGACCGAGTGCTCGCGGCCTCGGAGAGGCTCATAGCAAGACGGGAGCTGGAGGCCGAGGGCGCGAAGACCGCCATCCCCGCCAAGGGGAAGCAGCAGAAGAAGCGCAAGCCGAGCAAGAAGAGTGACCTGTTCGGTTGGATCCAGGGCGGGGTGATGAACGCCGTGAGTTTCCTCTGGTTACGGCGGTCGGCTGGGGGCTCCATGGCAGCGTGTGTCCTGGGATGGCGAGCTTGGAAGGTGCTGGGGATTGGTTCTGTGCTCCGGACCGTCTACGAGTCCGCGCTGGCTGCTGGTGAGGTGGCTGAGGGAGCTCATGAATGGTATGAGAAGGCCGAGGAGATGTACGAGTCGGGGGAACTCGAGCAGATCGGGGCGGCGCTCGGCGTCGGCATCGCGGCACTCTACCTGGGCTACTTGCTGCTCAGCAGTGGGGCAGGCCTGGGGAGACTGTGGAAGGTGTACGAGAGCGACAGCGAGAGCGAGGCCTCCGACTCAGAAGTCATGGTGGGAACGACGGTGGCGGACTCGGACGATGAGCCCGACTCGCGGCACTTGTTCGCGGAGCTGGCGAGGGGGCAGAACACGCCGCAGGCTTCTGTCGCCGCGCTGGCCGACCTCCTGGGCCAGAAGCGCAAGGGTGAAGATGTGACAGCGTCGGGGGGCCCTCGGGAGCGTCTCAGCTTCGACAGTGACGGTGACGAGAGTGAGGCCCAGGGGAAGCCCTCCGACGCGCAGGTGGACGACCTCTTACGGAAGCTTCAGGAGCACGCGGAGACGGTGAAGGTGGACTCAGCGGCGGGTACGAAGGGATCTCCAGGTCCGACTACGCCGACGTCGGGGTCTCCTACGAATTGGGGGAAGGCGTCTTCGCCAGGCGCGTCCATGTGTCGGAGAGGCCGTGGCGCAGCTGGAGATCGAGGCGCGCAACCCCAAGGACGGGCTGTTGGCTACGTTGAAGTCCTACCGCGATGTGGGAGGTGCTCGAGTCGGAGGGGTTCGTGCCAGGGTGGCCCCGACCGTCCTGGCCCGCTTGTACAAGAGCGGGAAAGGGGCGAGGGCCGAGCTGGAGGACTGGTTGCGCTCCAAGGAGCTCACGACGTGCTCCATAGCCTCGGAGATCTTCATGTTGGCGGCCGTCTTGGACAAGATGATGATGTGCGGGGAGTTTGACACTTTGATCAACTCACAGGCGGCCGAGCTGACGTGCCTGCGTATCTACTCGATCTTCAAGGCCTACGAGGACGTGGAGGTGGAGTCGGACTGGAGGCGCCCCAAGTCGGCCAACGGTTCGAAGTGGAAGAGCAAAGTCAACTGGGGCTACGCGGAGGAGTATCTTGACCTGGCCAAGTCGAATACGCCCGACTTAATGGCTGCGGACGTGGAGGTTGCAGAACGTTTGAAGAAGAAGGCCGCCATCAACAAGCACCTCTCGCTCGGTGGAGGTGCGTCGGGCCACTCGCACGCGGACGAATAGGTTGCGGCAGGGAGGTTAGCGGCGCCTCCTTGCCAAGCCGACGCCAAGGGCGCAAGTCCGCGCAG